TCGTTAATCCTTTCCGACCAACTGTGTCGCTGACGTTCGGAGGCTCGTATGGCTTACAACGAATGTGGGTAAAAGATGTGAGACCTGATGGTGCGGGCTTGCACGCCTAACAACGGTCCGATCTGCAGCAGTGTGCAAAAATGGCTCTTAAGGAACCCGAAGTGAATTCGGCCACAAGTCGCTTAAATTCCGGGCACTCCAGTAGAAACGCGAAATGCAAGGTGCCTCATCACCGTCGAAGAGTGGACGCAGCGTCTCCATTGTTGCCCTCTTCTCCTGGTTCCACGAACCAGGTTTGCGATGCACTTGCGAATTGAAACTCATGTGTAAGAACTAGCATCAAGTAAGATTCATGAACTCAAGATGGGGGCATGGGATGCTGAAGGCCCGAAGGAGACACCGATACCGCTGAGCAGCCGAGGCTCAACATGCTTCTACCAGGGTTCAAGAAAGATAGTAGCAAGGACCCTTCAGCCCCTCAGCTCTGGCGGGGCCGCAAGTGGGCAAAGAACTCTTTTTCTTGGGGGCAAGCGATATGGCTCAGCACGTGGAGTGGAGCAAGATCGCCGCCCTGTGGCCGCTGCGAACAGCGCTGTTGTAGCGGTCCACCTTGGGATGTGCACTTCCAAACACCGTTCATAGGGACATTCCTTCCTTGAAGCTCAAGCATTGAACTTGTGGGCGACGGACGAAACCGGGTGGATTGACGGGGACATTGGGCTCGAGTGAGAGGGCTCTCCGTTGCAATTTCGGGGCCTGCGGTGGCGATCCAGGCACGGTGGAGTGACAGTGATACGCCTCGGCCCTGGAACTTGTTTTTCCAGCTGGAATCCGAGCCGTCGAATTGCGGCCAGTTCGTCAAGCATTCTTAGACTGGGAGTGCATACTATACTGCTCAAAACTCTCCACGATGGTCTGGCTTCTGCCCGCTACACAGCTAGCAGGGGGTCATTGCGTCATGTGTGGAAGCCTCAAGTAAAGTGTTCAGGGCCCGCCTCCCAGGGTAAGAGGTAAAAACCTCAAAACCTTCGGAATGGGAGCTTCCGAAAATTAGGGTATCCTATTTGGGGGTCCTTATAATAAGGATCCTACTATTTAGGGTACTATATTAGGGTCCCCTATTTTCTGAAACCCCCGAATGCTCCAGACACGTCTGGTGCAAGCAGGCGGCTGTTCTTTGAATCAATGACATCCTGGGCGTTCGGCACGAGACGTTGAGGGCAGAATATTTATGGACGAGCACTGCGGTTCTAGCATGGTGCGGCGTTGTCCTTGTGGGTCCCTCAACACATGCAAATGTGGCGAGACATGCAAACGAACGGGCAGCTGCAGATGATGTTCGAAGGGATGCCGGGAAGCACTGTGCTTCAGCTGAACAAACTACTCAATGTGGTAGAATCACTGTAGTATTGAGCTGTATTGAGAGCTTCGGGGGGCTTGGAGCCACCAGAGCAGGCAGCCGAGCGGCTGTTGGAGTGTCTTGTTGTACTCGCCCACGAGCTCCCCAGATTTATGAACGACCTGAACATGAAAGTTGAACATCAACCGGCTTTACTCTGAGATGTTGGCTGGCCCCGACCGATGTCTGGCAGTCTACAGTTGGTCGGAAGCTTCATAGACAGAGGAGGAGACGAATTTCAGACCTAGCCCACACGGCTCATATGCTATGCCTCTGAGATTGCGGGCTTCGATCGAACTTACTTGCTATTGGGTCCGCTGGGATCTGAAACCTTCAGAACGTGTCGACAAGAAGCCGGCGAGACGTGCCAGAGCTCCTGGCAAGTGGCGAGTTAGGCAAAGTACAACCACTCCAGAGGACTTGTCTCGCCCTCAAGCCAGAAGCATCGCAAAAGAACTGGCGAATAAAGAACCTTGTAGAAAGCTCTAGACTCTAGAGTTCTTTGAGGTGTATCAGTACCCGTGTACTGTCCATTACAAATAAGTCGTACTTGAATAATCAAGTCTCAACAACACAGCCCGCAGGCGGTGTCGTCCAGCACGCTGCCACCACGTCTTGCGAGGCCATGTGAGACGTCAGCGACAAGCTTACACAATCCCTTCATCGTACGATGTACTCGTCAATGTGATTAATCCCCGTCGACCACTAAGACCGACTCCGCTGCAAATCAAACATCAACTCACTGCGCACAACAGGTATTGGATGATCGCCCCCGCTGCCGTTTCTGAATCATGCATTGTCAAACCTAACAGACAAGCCCGGTTGCCTGACTGCAGCCTGCCACGCTACAGACAGGATGCCCTTCCTTTCGCAGAAGGCCCGGTCGCCGCAACGAACACACAAGAGGGACCTGAAGCCTCATCCCTTCAGTTCCTCTCCCCCGTGGCTCCTTGACTCTCGCATCCGCCGTGGCGTTGTCTTGCAGAGCACCCAGCACTCCGATGGACATGTAGAACCTCGGGCACACATGAATGGATTCGAGCATCCGAAAGGCTGCCTACTGTAGTCTCCGTTGTCTCGAAAAATTTCGGTTCCAAAAGAAAGCCAGGCTCAGGGGGAGCTTTCCTCTCAACACCTCCTTCGGATCTGGTCGGGAGCTTTCCAGCGACCCTGAGCCGAGCCCTGACACTGGGCTTGGCACCACTCCCTAACATGGGAGCCTGAGCCCCTTATACTATAAGTATAATAAGGAGCCCCCAAAATAATATAGGTAATTATTAAAGCCCCAATATTATGGCGATGTGTCAAACATCCCAAGCACTTTCGGAGCTTCCTTACACCTTCAGCAATGCGCAAACTCCACATAGTCTGAGGAGCACATCGAGGCTGGTGTCGTCTTTATCATACCGTTCCATCTCCTTCGCTGGCAGGGGTGGGGCCCTCTCCACAGCACAAGCTTCTTGAAAAAGCATACTGGCACCCGCACAATGACTGCATCAAAAAATAAACAAACCATTTTCGGGCACAAGTCGGGATTGACGTCGAAAGCCTTGAACCCTGAGCCTGAACCCTAACCATGAACAATTCGATCACAAGACACCCAGGCACCAACTTTGAAATCGAAGCCGAGAGTCCTCCATGATCTCCTTAGAACGCTGACGGTGAGCGTGGCTCTACCGAGTTCCTACCACTAGACACCATGACTCAACAAGCAAACTTCCAAGCATAGCGGCGCTGTTTGGTCCGGGTGCTGGTTAGAGGGCGCGGAAGCATTAGAACCCGCTTTGCGGTCTACCGGATGACAGCCGGCAGTAGCAAGCTTCAGCAAACACAAAAGGGCACACCTTCATTGGTTCTCGAAAAAAGAACTGGACAGCTTCAGAAACAAACCGCAGCATGTAGAAAAGCCAAGCATCTTCGATTTCAGGATTCATGGGTCCCGTCTCGTGGGTCATGTGAGGCTCATGGTGGCCCCAGTTCCACTCCTGACACAGTGCTGATGGACACACGTCCCTTTTCCAACCGTAGGAACGTTGTCGTATCTCTGCTCGCGGCATCGTCTTGACTCGTGTCTATGTCCCTTAAAGCGTTGAATACTAGCAAGCCCCCACACGAAATGCCGGTGTGGTAGACAGTCGTTGGAACGTCATTCTCGCGAACATCGCTGATCATTTCCTCTCCAAATCTTGCTGTCGCGAATGTTTGAGTCTTTTCAAAACTTCGGCTGTCAACTCGCGAGAATATAGTGGCCAGCGCTTCTCAACATTGACACATATCATGTTTCATACTACGGCTGTGTTTATCCCCACGAACTCTTGCACGTTGCGGCTCTTGTCAAGGCTTCGTCATTGCCGTGACTCCACGTGTCTACATGTCTGTGTCTCTGTGGCGGCGCCTTGGCCCAGCCAGGCCCGGCCATGACGTCCCGGAAGGTGAACTTCAGGAAAGCAGGCAGAAGAGAACTTCGGTTCAGTCAAGCTTCAAGATTGGAGATGAGGGTATCATAGCATGTGGGGCATTATGTGGGGGAGTGTTTTCAGACCGGGGGATGGTCGCTTGTGTCGATGTGACAACTCAATCGACTCGGGCCCACAGCAAGCGCAACAACGATTGCATCTTGAATTGTGGGCTCCCATGCATGCGGCAGCCGACCTCCTTCCCCGTGACAGGGTCGCTCGCCACAACCTTGCACGTGGCTGAGATGCTGGCATTCTTCTGGATCCTAAACGAAACGAATAATGTACATTTATAGCAACCCTTAAACCCTTCAGCTTCAACTTGCTCTTCATCATCCCAACCAGGCGCAGTTCTTGGGGGACTCCGGGGTCTGAGACACGTCCTGAAACCGAGAAGCCTTGCCCCAGGAGTGCCGCAGCAGCGGACAGCCCACCGGTGACGTGCCTTGACTGTCGGACACTTCCCTTCGACAAGCACCAAACACCGAACCTTCAACCTCCAGCCTTTGGCCCTAAACTTCCCCTTGCAGGGGTTCGGCTCTCGGCACCTAGGAGCCTCAGTCCTCAGCCATTTGTTTGCCTCCAGAAAGCACACCGTAAAGATCGGGGTTCAGGGCCTGATGCTTCAGTAGCGGGGCCCTGGCACCCGGATAAGGCCACAGCAGCGCTGACACCGAGAGGACAAGGCCTGGACCACCTACCGAGAGCTTAATTGTCACCACTCCGTGAGCGGGAAAAAACTAGCGTCGTGTTAAGGGTTCCCAAGAGGGTCCTTTTTGCTGGGCCTCAACCCGGAAAGACCGATCATAACCGCTGATCTATCGAAGCATGACAAGTGCTCGCCAGGTTGATGCATCCAGGTCGCATTCAAAGCGGGGCTCCTGCACAAAGACCTGTGATGTTGCAGCCAGCTTCATGCAAAGACTGAAACGACAAGTAGGAGGAAATGCTGGAGCAACACCCACAAGACCCACGCCTTCAGGACTGGACAAAGAAGAACTTGTTCTTGTGACCCTAACACAAGCGTGCGCTAAAGAGTATATTACGTAGCTGAAGGTCTATTCAAAAGGATGTAGTAACGAGAACATTGACTGACAAAAAACGTACTGGCAATGAATGACATGTCCAGACGCGTACCAAGGAAGAGTCCTCCTGCAAGACTGCAGCAACAGGATATCCCGCACGCAAAATATATCGATCGACACCGGAATCCCCAAAAATAAGCCTGCATGCTTCGAAAGCCCGGGCACTTCGACGTCCATGGGCCCGCGCGCCGATGACCGCAGCAGGCTCCATGCGACCGGCCATAGAAGCACCTGCAGGCACAGGCACAGCCGCAGAGCAAAGGATTCCTTTGCTCAAAGTGAAGGGGCTAGCCATGGACCGCATTGCTTGGTTGGCGCTCCAGTGCGCATCACATATTGGGCTCGAGTGTTGTTGCAGGCATGGACCGCATGGATGACATGCATCTGTCCCTGCCTGACAGCCTGTCTTACTCAGTTGCTATGTTGGAATACAGGCCTAACAAGACACAAGCTCCCGTTGGCCGCATCAAACCCTCCATTCCGAAGACTTTCATACTCAAAAAACCTCCAAAATCCCTCAGCTCAGCACCGATACGATATCGAATAGGCAGGGGCTCATCGCTTGAGCCCCGTCTGCGGCATCGGGCGTCTCACACTCATTAACAACATGGTCAAGTCATGCTTGCGGTAGGTCATGTTGAATCATGCTTTAGTCCACACGGGCCGCTTCACTGACTTGATAATGAAGAATTACTATTAATCATCTGGGCCTTCACTGCTACCTGTTTATGCTGTCCTGCATTCCACCTTCCTCCAATCCCCACACCCACTCACATGCCCAAAGACACGAAGACCTGCATGGAACAAACTGCGTGGGCGTCCTCCACGGTCAGCGTTTTGCCGAAAGCTTCCACGCCTCCGGCAGGGGGCTTCTAGGAGTGTCGCAAGCGATGGCGCCCAGAGAAGTGGATTCCGTTCGAAACTTCAGTGTAGGTCGGGTGCGGATGCTTGAAAATTCTGGTGAGGACACAGAGCGTGGGAGGCCCGGAATTCAAACCTGAAGCTCCAAATATTGGGGGCATTCCGACTGCTGAACATCAAAGAACCATCCCAGCTGGAAGACCTACCCTTGGAAGAGCAGCAGGAAAAACCTGGCATACCGTAAGGCTGCAGAACTGCTGGGGTGGGCACGTAAGCAAATGGTCGTGGGTGGTGCCAAGTACTGGCGGCGCTGCCTTGCATCAGACTTGCAGGTCTCGGCTTGCGAGTAGGACGAGCCGCAGTTATCTGATTATTAGGGTAGTAAGGCCACGATGCTTCCCATTCGGAATTAGGACCGTTTGACGCTGACTCGGTATGCTCATCAGTTGCGAGGGCGCGTACGTATTCCCAGAGGGACACCGCCTATTGCTGTCACATTGCATTGCTCGCGCTCTTCTCCGCACCTATATTTCCCCACGGACACAGTTACAACAACTGCCCGCGCAGGATTCCAGTTATCAACTCTCCGGTTTACTGCAGCTCTCACATAGAGATCTCTGCCTCCGGACGTCTGGGCCTTGAGCAAGGCAAGCCTCCACGACCTTGGCAGTTTTCGGAAGCGCAGTGACGTTGGGGCACGCCTAGGAATGTATGCCAAATTCCAAACTCAGCCCAACTGCGTCTCTACATCGCTTCGCTCCCTTTTCTTGTGTGTTGGGCCCTCATAAACCACCCTGTACCTCAAAGCCCGCTGCACCTCGAAGCCCGAAACCCCCAAAAAACCCTAAACTTAAACCCTAAACCCTAAACCCTAAACCCTAAACCCCTAAACCCCTAAACCATAAACCCCTAAATCCGAAACCCCCAAACCCTAAGCCCCCCCAAAAGGCCCAGATCGAAGCGCCTCTTCCCAGGTGCTGCCCTCGGCCCAAACCTCGAGGATGGCCTGGCATTCGACGCCACTCCCGGGACTTCGGGCGGCAAGGAAAATAAAGGGGCCTTAAGAATTAGAATAGGGTTCAGGGTTGAGGGTTTAGGGTTTAGGGTATAAAAAAGTAGAGTTCCTTTTAAAGGGTTCCTTAAAAGGGGGATACTATAAGGGTTACTATAGGGATTCTATAATATAGGGGCCTTAATAAGTAGAATAGGGTTCCTTCTATACGGGCTATTATAAGGGCTCTATAAAGGTAGAGTATAGGGGCAGATAGGGGCCTCAATGATTAGCATAGGGTTTTGGCGTATATTATACGATAACCACAATCAGGAACCCGCAAGATAGTAGTGGTAATTAATTCAGGCCCCTACGTTGCATGGGTTACTACCTGCAAGGGTTACTGCAACGGCTCTTATACGGGCTACTAGTAAGGTTAGATGTAGGGTAGCGTCATGTAGCGTCTAAGTACAGTTACGTATAGCCCCGATTGACACCTTTATAACCTTTAAAGAGTTCGGGTCAAAAGGTGGTGTGGGACAGAGGCTGGAAGGAATCTGAAAGGCTTGGTGTCGAGAGGTTCCTCTGATGTTGTATAAGACCGTCTTGATTGGTTGATGCAGGGCAAACAGCCCGGAATCCCAATGGCAAAACTCAGGAACAGGCAGTCAGTCCTCATGTCTTACATGTGTGCCGGAGAGCTGAAACTAGCAGCCCAGGTTTCAGGTTCTTCGTCGATCGACTGTCGAGTTTGCCCAATCTAGATCCTCTGTCCCACCTCTGTTGTGGCCGTCCCAAACAAAGCGAAAGCGTGGCCCCGAATAGAAATCCGGAAAGCTTCTGGGACCTAGACATTCAAACTGGCAGGAGATCCTTCACAAGCACAGACCGCTCACAGATCTTCTTGGCGTCGGCCTCCAATTTGGCACAGGCTTGACATCTGCTGCTAAGCCCCGCGTCCAAACCTTAAAGCAGTCTGCCTGCGGACTGGTTCATAACATGTACATGAACCTGCCAAAGTGGAACGGGACCTCAACACAAACGAAGGAAGTTCTGTCGATGCTGGAGTTGGCGTACTCGGATCTTTAGGGAACTATGCTCCCGATTCGTGGGTCTGGCACTCCGCTCTTTGCAGGTTTCGCCACAACTGTTGCTACCAAAGTGTCATTACTCTTTTGAACCCCTGGCAACAGTGTCTTAAGCAACATAAAGTCCTGCCCAACATTCGTTCAGCTTCTTGCCGGCTCCCACGTTCGTCGCAAGCAACGCCGCTCGTCCAATCCAAAACGCATGATTCCCGCGTGTTGCCCCGCAGGCAGTGGAATCACTATTTTGGAGGATTTGGGCTGTGAAACGGCAAAAATGCTGATTCCCGTGCGTCGCACCTGCTTACTGGAGGGGAGACCTTGTTTCGAACACCCGCATGCCCTCCCCGAACACGCGGAGGAACCACCATCTGGGTAGATCGGGCCAGAGTTCCCGCGCTTTGCCCCATTCCCCCACACACACACACACTGCTAGGGTTGAACCTAAGCCCTTATCAGTGAAAGAAAAAAGCTTGTCAGCTTTTCGCTGTGGTTGGAAAGCTTGTCAGTGTGCACCCAAACCCTGTCGTGGTCAGGACCTACTCCGGCGTGGCGACCTGCTACCAGAATATCATCATGCTGGTGCGCCGCTTACAACAACGTCTCAGACAAAGGCATTCACCAGTCGAGGCCGTTCCACTAGGTGCATGAAAACTGACCGAAGACTACATACATCAGATCAGGACTACACAACCTTGAACTCGAACGGTACTTGGCAGGACGTTCTGAAAGTCTCGCTTCACAGGGCTTTTCTTGCTGCCTGCCAGCTCAAAATCTGGTGCTGTCCGTTCGACTACAAAAACCTAAAGCGTGATTCGGCGGGATCGGACTGAAGAGTAATTAGCCTCGCCGCCAGGTAGTCTCACCAGAACCGCCATGGAGGCAGACAGTGACGTCGGCTTGGCCTGGCATCTTATCTGGGTTCAGCTGGCTCTGTTTGCAGGTGCGCACAAGTTTGTGCGCACAGGTGTGCTATTTTGTGCACCGGTCGTGAGTTCGGCGTTAGGTGCATGCGTAATTCATAGAGAAATATACGGAGCAGCGAAAGAATCTGTAAGCTTTTGATTGTCTACTCCTCTTGTGTTTATGCAGCCTATCTATGCAAGCCTGCATGCATACCTGCATGTCTAACGTACATGTGCCTTGGCGAGTGCATGTCTGTGTACCTACCGGTTTGCATGCATGTGTGTCTCAGTCTATGTGCCTGCTCGTCTGTCTATCTGTCCTATGGTGAAGGGGGAAGGGGAGGTGCGTGCCCGTGAGCGTTCAGACTTCAGCTCGATGCAAACTGTTGATGCTAATGACTTAAGGACCATCGGTAGGTATGAATCATACACACAAACTGCTGACGCAAACACCCAAACTCAGGGTGCCTCTGCCCGAAACGTCCTGAAAGCTTGAACCGTTGCATCCCAATCTTTGGCGACATCCCAAAGCCTCGAGCTAAACCTTGCAGCATGGCCTACTTTCCAAGCCCAACCTAACTTCTCCTTCGGAAGACTTGTGAGCATTTTACCCCAACACGCCTGAAACTCCTACCGAAGCTGCAGATTTCGAGACCAGCCTCCGCATAGAGCTCCTGCGTACACACTCCGAGGAGTGCTGCCACGGATTCCAACTCCTGGAACCTCAAATGCTCTGGCTGCTTTGGCTTCTGCTCCATATATAAAACGCAACACAAACACACATAGAACTCAACGTAGAGTCTCGCTCGTGCAACTGTTTTCAACTGTTGGGGTAACAAACCATCGCGGCAGTCGCCGCCGCCGCGGCAGCAGCAGCAGTAATGAACTGGGCTTGCGGCCGCATGTTGAAGTACATGTTGTGGTGCGCGAAGAGGACGAGGAATTCCCGGCCTGCGCCACTCGCGAGTGCGTGTGTGCATAAAAGATGTGTGAAACAGGTTTTGGAGTAGGGGTCGCAAAAAGTTGAGCAGGCTGCACGAGAATGGGTAGCTTGCTTGTGACTGCTCCACACATGTAGTTCACTTGACTGCAAGGTAAGACGGCGAGTTTATGTTGCAGGGCTGCAGATGTGGATGCTTGGGTGAACCGAGAGACCGCGGTTGACAATTTTTTTACCGTGAACGAACTTTAATGTGTCGCCTCTAAAGCTCACGGGCTTTCCCGAATCCTCGGCTCAAGGGTCCGATAACGGTTGGCCTCCATCCGTCGCCATGGCCATGTGCACCGAAGGAGCATGCAAGGCTGAGGGAAGGTCTGCTTCTTTCGGGCTGCTTTGAAGCCTACACTGTCGGGATGGATTGAAAGTTCGAAAGAGCAGGAGGGCTCGGGAGCTGAGGTGCCTCGGAGAATCCCAATGCCAGGGTCTCTACACAGACTCTTGGCTTTCTGGTCCCACAGCTGCGAGCGTGTGGACTTTCTTTTTGGATAGGCTTCTGAAGAATGGTTGCTGCAAAGTGCAACTCCGCAAACGAAAAGCAACTGTGAGCCCGAGACCCGAAGCATTGTGGACTTCTGCTCCTGGTTTGCACTGACTGATTCCTTAAGAGACGAGGCTGTGCCACCAGACTTGCCTGTTCGAGCATCAGTGCTGCCTTTGGTGGGGCAGTTGTGAATCGCACCAGGAATTTAGGGCGGGGGCGTCGTAGAGTCATAAAGTGCTTGAGCTGACAGGCCTATGCGGTAAATCTCCACCTATTTTAAAATCCTTGCGTGGGAGTGAAATGAAAGCCTATAGACCTCAAAAGCCCCAACATAAAACCCTAAAGCTGCGGCTTTTCATGCCAGGCCTTCTTTCTCTTCCGAGTTTTCGACGCGTTCGCTGGCGCATGTTTGCGGTGGTCCCGGCCAGGTCGCCCGAGTGCGGAGGCAATCACACGGGGTCTTAAAGGGCCCAGAACCCTGGGGCATCTTCGGGGTTGAACGCAAAACCGGTCAGTGATCAGCGGACGTGTAACTACATTTGTACCAGACCAGTTGTAGCAGTTGATCGAAGCTTTAAGCCACCATTAAATTCACTATTGCGGGAACGGGTGATGAAACCCCACTGCAACCGGAACCTACAACCACGTCTACAGAAGCTTCCATGAATGCCGCCATCACAATGTGGGCAGAAAGCCCCTTACGGGTTCAGGACCTCCCCGCAGGCGACCTGTGGGGGGTGAAAGTTTCCCTCGGGGAGCCATGTCAATGCGGCCGCCAAAACCCCCCAGTGCGCACTGTCTCTGATACCGTTTTTGGCAGGCAACGCCATCAAGCTAGTGGCGCTAGTGAGCTAGTGCTGCTGCATTCCGCTCACACTATCATATATCCTCTGGCAACATCGGCGGTTGTGGCATCCTTGTTATGTTAGGGTTTGGGTTTCAGTGGCAGAAGCAGAATCGACTATCCAGAACAAAAACTACAACAGCAGCAAGGGTGCTTACTGATCTCAGTCAACTAATTGACTTCACGTGAATATACCACCAGGCATGCCAGCCACACAGATCTACCGCGCAGTCAGAAACAGCATCCAACCGGTCAGGAATGTCGCTTGGAGGCAGCAGCTGATTGCTGGCCACGGCAGCGCTGCACGTGGCGAGGGGCTGCACGGGACAGGACAAAGGGTGGCTGCAGGTCACGCTAATGTTGGCGGTTTTCGAGAAGAACTTGGGGGGTTATGGAGTTAAGGTTCCACTGGGACATTGAAGGTTGGAGTTGAGCACGGTTGCTGCAGTCTTCCGCGTAGCGAAAGAAAGATCTGCCTGGAAAACAAGAATTACACACCCTGCGCGGTCGAACTCCGTCCCGTCCCGGCTGGAAGACTTTGCACGAAAGTGCTGTCGGAGTAGGGAGCGGAGCTAGGCGACAGCGACTTCTAAACCTGCGACAACGAACTGTAAACCTTCGGCTTCGGGTCGGGGCTTCAAGTATAGGTACTTGCTGCTACAACGTCCAACCAGCCAGAAGACCTTCTTGAAACAGCCATGCAACTTCTTCTCAGACGCCCGGGGCTGTCCCGCGAATGGCCAGTTTTACACCACACCAGGCAGTCCAATTGCTCATTTGGGGTTGTGGAACAGCCACAACGCCTCTTTTCAGGCGCCCTAAGGGTTTTAAAACAACTGCAAGGCAACCCGAATGCTCAAGGATTCTAGATCAGCCACAAAGCTCCAAGGCTAGGGCCGGGGTTTGAGAAGAACAGCCACACAGGCCCGAAGGCTCAGTTTGGGGTTTGTGACTAGCCATCAAGGCTTTCAGGTGCCCGGA